TTCTAATTGTTATCAATTTCACTTGCCTGACGATGGTGAACAAAATCCTTCGGCATTTATCGCGGCAAGGAGTCAAATGCGTGTGTCGTTGACAAGTTTCTTGAGCACCATACAGGTGACAGCCCGACTTTAGATGAAGTTCGTCCAAAATTTTGAAAACCTGCACTCTGGGGATATGGATCCGAGGGTCTGCCACCCCTTTTTTCCTAAAAATAAACTCTTGAATTGAGAGGACTTTCGGTTCGCGCCATATTTAAAGTGTCCCATATCACACGGACACTATACATTTACAATTATCTATGCGCTCTCTGGGATTTAAACCTCGATCCTTCAGTACGGCTGTCAGAGTCCACCACTATTTCAATTTGGCGGCGATATTGCACTTTGCATGGATGATAATTCATCTAAACAAAGAAACGTTCAGCAAGTAAGAAAGCTAAACTAGCCTAAACTTTAAAGATTTTTTTATAATGCGAGACAAAACTGATGTAAGCAGAGGCAAACAGATGATTAATCCTTCAGCTAAAAGATGTAAAGTTAATAGAAGTAAATACACTAAAGTATTTTAAATCGTCCTTATTTTCTTATTACTATTTTGTAGGGAATACAGAATCTAATGCATGCCATAAACTTATACATCATATGTTTAACGTTATTTATAATGTTTGTTTTCAACAGTAAGTTCTGGAAACCCCCTGAGTGACATGACCATCTTCACCCGGTCATGAGACACTTTGTCACTTGGTATGTATTAAATTTCAATTTAAAATATTCTGATTTCTTTAATACTGTAAATATCATCTTAATTAATGGAAGTTTATGAAAACAGACAATAAAATAAGTAATTATAAAAATTTAGCTAATAGAAGCTGATTTTCATGAGCTGATCCAAAAAGGCTTGCTTCTCAAAAGGTCAAAACTTAAAGTTTCTGAGATTCAAATATTATGCGTAGCTTCCGTTAGTGCTATGCATAATATTTGAATATCATAATAATTTGAGTCAGATATTTCCATGGATGTTGCCCTGACCCATTTGTGATATAAGATTAGTTGTATACGCTGCATTCCATTATTGTAGGACAAACCTTTTGTTAATTAAGAACTCGGAAATGCCTCGACTGTCAAATATCACTTTCATAGTGAATGAGTCATATGTAGACATAAGTATCGCAATTAGGATCAGACATCCAATTGAGCTAGGGCTGTAAACTCTAAGCCATATTACATAGATTCTGCTCTAACTTACTTCCGCTATGCAACGTTGCTTTGGAGATTTCATGTAGTTTTAAACTGTGGTCAAAGAGCTCGCCATTTGTAATTCGCCAGGAAGCTCACCAATGGAGATCAAAATCTCCGTTTTTAACACTTTTTTAACTATCTACTGAACTTAAGTAGCTGATTATTTTAGTACATGTCTCCCTGTGGAGAGGAACATATACAAAAAAACGTATACATAAATCCTCTTCACGTGGAGAGGATTTATGTATGCGTTTTTAAAAAATTAAGAGTTTAAGGTATGGAAGACCTTCCTTATTGACTTAAAGGCGGATTTATAATCTTCTGACTAGATTCTTTCTAGTTTAAAAAAACTATAACTATAGCGCATTTCATAGCAAGAGAATAACAGTTTTGAAGCTAAATCATAGATACATGTTGCAAAACTGTGTTTCCAATTTTGTTGATTTTTGATAAAAATATAGATTATCGACTCTTGGTGGTGCGTTAAAAATTCCTACTATCAGCAGTCCTCTTTGAGTCATAAGTAGACTCAAACAGCACTGTTTTATGACTTTAAATTAATAGTAAACTGAAAGAGCACACTTTTGTAACCTTAAGTCATCGGTAATCTCAAAGAGTACTGTAAAAACTCAAAACACAAAAGCACACCAGTTTGTAATTTTAAGTCATTAGTAAACTCAGCATTATTTCCTGACTTTGAGTCATTAGTAAACTCAAAGAGCACTGCAGAGAGGCTAGATGAATAGCTAAGCAAGAAAAATGAAATACTTTTTTTAAAAGTAATTTTACAAGTAATCATTGAAATTAGTTGAATGGCTTAAATTATGTTGTATTGAGGAAATTTCATGTTCGGGTTTAAAAATAAGCATTTCAAGTTGAAAATATTCATTTAAAATATAATTAATTAATCAAATTTATTTTAAAAGCTCTTTTATTTATCTACCTACAAGACAATTATAAAAGGAAAAAATTATATGTTTTTAATCAAATCAAATTTCCTTTTCTTTTCTCTCTCAAAAGAGTTCCTATTATCGTATTTCACCACATGTTTTACTAATTTTATCGTCCGAAAACTGAGAGGGGAAAGTTATGCGAATAATTGTGAGAGGGAAATACGCGAGGAAAATACAGCATTCCATTATGTCCATATTTACTTATGAATTGTTTAATGATGATGATATTTATGATTTGATGATTAAAATCATATTATTCACATCGATCTCTCTTCTAAAAAACTTCCGTTCTAAAAACTCTTCTAAAAAACAAGCATTAGTTTTAATTAGTTATGGGTTGCTATTACATTAGTATATATTAAATAAATGTTATTATAAATGAAGTTACGCACAATCTTTCCGGAAAAATGCTGCTCTCCTAAATTAAGGAGATTCGAGATTTGTATGATTTTTCAGTTATTGGCGTTAGATGCTTGGTTTATGTGCCGATATTTAATATTCAGTGCTGCGAGAATAAATTATTGCTGGGTATTACTTTGAAAATTGCATTCTTAAAATCCAAAAAGCATATTCATTTCCGAAAAGCGAAAGCGATCGTTTGGCGAAATTTTATTGCATATTCATACATAAATCAACATTTCCGCAACAAATGAGGTGCATCCGACGAGAAAAGAAAACGGATTGCGGAAATAGATTGAAAGTATGATTGCATAGAAAAAAATAGGTGCTCCTGATATAGAAGCTGTAACCGTGACCACTGGAGTGAACTTGATAAATTACTAGGTGCTGTAACTTGATCCAGAGAGGATTGAGATGTCACGTCATGACTGTACCCGTCGTTGCTATGGCTACCAGATCTGACCTTGATCAACTTGCTTCTTCATCGTATGAATCATTTGTAACTTTTTATTCTTAGGTTTTGATTTGTGGACGGAAGAACCAATCTCGAGGCTAATATTGTTCTGTTTTTCCGGAAAAGCTGTTCAAAAGCTTAATCAATGAAACGTATCTACTACAAATATAAAGATAGAAAAAATAAGTAAGCACATAAAAGGCAATGGCAACCAATTTTGGGTCAATCATTCTGAGTATTATTTTCTGACATGAGGGGAGAAAAAGTAAAGAAAACATTGCTTGAAGAGTTTAATCTGGTTAGAAATGAATTACTTTCTGTGATTGAATTAAGATAAAAGTAAATGTAACATTTGTTGTTCCAGATTTCAACATGGCACAACATTGAAAGGCAAAACAGAAATACGGTCTTTGAATTCTGTAGCATTGATTCCTTAATTAATAAAACATTACTATGCCGTTATCTAGTTCTAAACTTAGCCATCCTAGACTGGTAGCTTAAATACCTCATTTTTATCTATCTTTATGTTATATTATTAACCAAATTTTAATTCAATATCTTGTAAGAACACCATCGAAACGAAATAACAATTTCTGTAGTTGTTTCAATCAAAGTCAGTAGCATACAGTCATCTACTGAGTTTGATTAAAAAATTTGATACTCAGCCAGCATACAATAGAAAACCGACTTTTCTCCCTAAAAGAATGTGTATTGAAAAAGGCGAAAAATCTGTTGAATGAATTGTGAGATTATTATATATACAAGAAGAAACTCTAAAAGTTTGGTTGTTATACGAAGCAGGAATTCGTTAGCTTCCTGAATAAAAAGAAAATTTCTTCTTGAAGTCTACTTGAACAGTTATTAAACATAGTTAGTATTAGTCCATACTATGAAATATTTGAATTGATTTGTCTTTATTTTTCCCTTGAGATAACAAATAAACTTGTGCATAAGTTAATATCTATACAGAGATTCGCTTAAGCGTGTACAAATTTCATGAAGGGTAGGTTACTCGAAGATGATTCCGAAATACATAGCAATGTATGTATGGAAGCACATTCTAGCGCGCTAGAGGGCATTATTGTGGAACAGGTAAAATCACCAAGCACGAGCAGCGAGTATAGCAACTGCTTCTTGCTGAGTACGAACCATGAGTTACATCTTGAATAGAAAGTGTACAACGGAATCCTATTTTTCGGCTGGTATCCTGTTCACTGACAAGACATACGTTAGTACAGAAAGATGCTACAATGCACATAACACACATGTATGGGCAGTGGACAATGACAGGAGTATCCGATCATGTTGCACAGCACCGGTTTTTCGTCAATGTTTCGTTGGACATTGTTCGCGAGCATCTAAAAAAGTCCATAGCTCATGACTTTCTCATGCTTCGTTCGGCAGCACTTGAATTCAACATTTGGTGAGTATTGAATTGATCTTATTGGTTCTATTCATTGGCCTGCATGTTCACTGAACCTCTCGGGGTTACTTGAAAAGCCTGGTCTACACCGGTGGTCAGAGGAGGATCTTGTCGCGCGTATTAGAGGTAGCTATTTTTTATCTGCTCCGTTAACGTAGATAACACAATCATCCCTGAGACTCTCGGTATATTCCCAAACGTCCATAATTCCTTGCTGAGCGGGTGTCACGCTTGTATCGCAACTGGGTGTAACTTCGAGCACTTACTGTGATCTCTGAATATCGCAACAGCTGTAAAGATTTGCTGATTAAAATCACATTATTCATATCAATGTCTCTTTAGTTGTGTTTTCTTCTCTCCATACTGGCACAAGAACTTCCGAATAATTCTTTGAATAACCTACCTCTCCCTGAAGTTTTTAAACGCTTAAGCTGAAGTTTTTATCACTTTGTATAAACGTTAGTAGTATTCAAAACATTATAACTTAAATATTAGGAATAATTAATTATATGAACTCTAGCACCAACTGTACCAGGTTCAGGTACAGGTGGGCGAGTGATTGGGATTCCACCATTTGTTGTACAGATATAGCCCCACCGTTCTAACAGTGCAGCTCCACTCCAATGTTGATTGAGACCTTGAGAGATAGTCTGACGTTTTTCTATCCCCTTTTTCCTACCATTAAAACCCTCGAGAGGCATTTCGGCTCGGCAGCCGTGCTCCACAGACACTATACACTTATAAACTACCCTCCCCCGGGATTTGAATCCTCAATAACCGATACGGCAGCCAGTGTCGCTAACCGCTATACCCATCACTTCCGCGACATCATCAAATCCACCAACGGAGAGATTTTTTTCGGCAAATCAACAACTTACTAACATAACTGACTAATTTATTTCATCCGGACATATACTAAAACGCGAATTTCTTAAACCAAGCACGATATGAACATTGAGCTAAATGATTTTAAAATTTGTAAAGGTTTCCTTTTCAGACTTGAAAACTGGTAATTTTTAGCACCAGAGGTACTTTTCGTATCGCCCATCACATTTTTGCTCGCTTTACTCCAAATAAAAGAATGGGCTAAGGATCTAAATGACCCTTTTATTAAGAACTCAGTAAGCTAAACAGAATGCACTTCTGGTGCTTACAAATCAGCCAGCACTTATAGAGCGAACTCAAAATGTAGAATTTAAAAATTAGAGCTAAGTCTAGTCTTTATGATCCAAAGACTATGCTGAAATATTTAGACACGCAAGTTGGCTCCTTATTTACATCGACGTGACAGCACTATCTACAAGAATAAAGCAGTGTTGTAGAAAGGAATGCTTGTTGTAGAATAACAATTAGAAACGTGGCTTTAGCGGGCAGAACACGCTCTGCCTAAAACAGTCTCAAATCCTCGCTTAACTACACGCCAGCTAATTTGCATTCTAGCAGGAAAACGGAAAGAGAGCGGTAACAGTACAGATTCGCAGGATAAAATACCTGGATAATTAACATAAATACCTTACAAATGTTTAATACTTCTATGTAGCGTAACATATTAAAAATTCATTATACTTATTTAATTTAACGAGAAAGAGATCATGTTAAATTGTCAACTGAAATTTTGAATTCTTAATATAGTTTCTGAAACATACGCACAGTTCTTTGAAGGAAAACGGACTGCACCATGCTGCAAATATTTTCACTTTTAAAATAATAATATTCAATATTGATTTTGAAATAAATTATCGCAAAGTTATATATTTATAATAGAAAATGAAATGTATAGCATATAAATGAAACATAAATCTAAATAGAATGCAAGTAAAAATTAAATCAAAATATATATAACTAGTCATTTTTATCATTATCATAAATTTTAGACTTTAAGAAATTATAATTATGCAAATGAATGACACATTTTTCTATTACTATATTAGCAATATTTAGAAACTCAATCAATTCATCAATAAAAATACTTTATTACCTGCACATCTGAGCTTTTCAGTAAAAAACATTGTCATACACTTATACCTTGTTTTTGTGGGATGAAACACAATGCAGACCTGGCAATTTAAAATTTTCATTACTACTGACGGTAATTCCATTTTAATTGCACTGAGCAGTTAGCTCTCTTAAAAGATTGGCATCATATGTTGCATTTCTCGGTCACTACATATAACGATAAAACCACAGTGAAAAGATTTTAAAAGGAATGCTTTTATTACATCTGGGACAAGTTTTTCACTTTTTCTAAAATTTCAAAATCTATTTTCACAAAAGGATTTAATTATTAATTAATAATTTAATTAATTTAAATGAGTTTATATCATAACCGAATAGTTGCAATATGCACTCACCTTCTTTATTGGTAACTAAACATTCACTGTTGCAGATAATACTTGCATTTTTATAGATGACACTAAATATCATTAGCGTCATCTATAAAAACCTTCATTGAGTTTAGATGAAAAATCTTGCCATCACAACACCTCGCGTCATGGAGTAATAAGTTGTTCTGCTCTACGTATTTTCTAATATGAACATGTAAATGACTCTCAAAATACTAGATGGTCATTTTATATCCTCATCCTGGGATCCATTGCTTGATGCGCTCTGGAACGTAAAACTGAAGTGTGCAGAGTTTGAGGGATAAGTCTTCGCATAATCTAGGAGCTAGTCATGTTCCGGGATATCACTGATGTCTTCTTACATCACTCATTTCTTATATTTTGGCATAACGCTAACGACACACAATGCCTTTCACAAAATCTTAAAAATTTCACCAGAGTTTTACTTCCCTGCTGAGATCAGGATGTTTAAACAGATCAGGATGTTAAAAACAATAATTTTATTTTTCAACGTGAATCTTCTTGACAGACTTCGACTATTTATATGCCATTTGCTGATACGTAAGGAATATTCTATTCGTTAGCTCATTAGAATTGCATTCTTCTGATCCGTAATGCCTTATTAGATCTACTATAATGAGCAAATTAATTGAGACAAAGCGATGTTTTTTATAATTTATGTACATACCTTCATATACAGGGATAATAGTAAAATTAATAGGAAATATGTCCTTCTTCAGCAAAAATGACACCTAAAATAAGCTTATGCATTAAGTCCCAATCGCATTATGTTTCCGCTACGAGGGACTCGTCGAAAGGGACAATTCTCAGAACCCCCACATTTCCAGGAAATCCACTTAGATAGGTTACCAATATTACTACATAGACTTGAACGCTAAAAAGTAATCGATTATTCCTCAGATTGGGATCACGTGATCCTTCAGAATCAGAACTTTCGTCTGATTGGTTGATCTCTATGCGGGACAGAGCTGCAGCCGAAACATTTCCGGCGAGGTTTCAAAATATCCCGCGTAGCCGATACATCGTTTCCGTAGCTAGGCGGGACTTCGCTGCCAGCGGAGCTGTTTCTTCTAGGAATCCTCCGTTTTAAACCAGTGTTATCAGAATCTCGTTTCTCAGAAAAGTCCCGTCTAGCAGGGATCGTCGCTATATGTGATAAGGACATTAATCTTGTGCATTACCTTTTACTTCTTTATCAAAGAAACATACTTTCTTAGCGTTCTTAATCATGAATTTTTTGTGTTAGGATCCATTCTGATAAGATGTTCCTTGAGAATGCGCTACAAGTTTTCGGTCGGATTTCAGTCTGGTGAATTTCTAAGCCAGTCAAAAACAATAATTTTATTTTTCAACGTGAATCTTCTTGACAGACTTCGAATTGTGACGTGCAGCCAAGTCATGCTGAAATGTTCCTGCAAATGTTTTCAATAATGGTACAATCCTACGTTTTAAAAATTTCTATATATTACGGTAAATTCATCAATCCGTCAATAAGAACTAGAATTCCAGTGCCATCCGCTGGGAAAAACGACAAAATCATTTGCTTTTGAAGGTACATTTACGGTTTGTTGGATATGTCGGGACTTATTGTTTCATCCTTGCTTTGTCTCTTAAATTCGTAAATATGAGTCTCATCGCTGAATGTAATATTTTCTCAGTCATTTATAATCCAAGATTTGTATTTATTTGGCTTATCGTTTTTGCTCCATTTGACGTTTCAAAAGTTTCTATTTAATTATTTTTATCGCCTTCCGACCAACAACGAGAAGCTTACACAACACATTTGAAGAATAAATATCAATACCAATAGACAACAGATCTGGTTTAAGGTCTTTGCTGGTTTTTGTTGGATTAATAATTCGACTTCGGAGTTGGAATGGTTCAGATTTGGGAGTTGATTTTGTTGCTTTTCACAATTGATCTTCCTTTCTTGAGAAAATGTTCCAGTTTCATTGTGTCTCGTCAGAGTTTCTCGATTTTGCAACACCAACCGCGAAAGCAATGTTTCTTACTGTCATGCATGTGCGATTGCTAATTACGGTAATCTTTGCTACATTTCTAGAGACTATATCCATTTTCAGTACTTGAGTAATATAATTATACTTGATTAATAAAATGAGCGAATGAAAATCATTTTTAAAAATATACAAAAGTAACATCCTCTTCCCCATAAACAAGATTAAAAATGGTGCAATAATCCTAATTTAGTTCCTAATCCAATTCTAAGTAGTCAAAAGCAGACATACAGCCGCCATTAAGACAGATAAAAGTGCTTTAAGGAACCTGCTGGGAACTAACTCCAAATTCTGTGAATAAAACGCTTGTCCCAATTTATTTTCACACTATAGTATTTCGGTAACATCCTTTTTTCCAGGGTGATGCCAAGATACCTAAGCTTATCAGAATTGATTAAACAAATGGGTAGTTACATTATTTTAAGATGGTAAACATGCGTTTAAGGAATTGATAGTCTATTAAACTTCCATGTACATATCCTAGTAACCGTAGTAAACACACTTCTAATGTATGAGATTATTTCTTTTCACAGAAATATTTATTAGTCCGAAAGGGCTATAAATCTGAAAGCGCGATTTTGCATTTCACTTTCCATTCGAATCTGTTGCCATCTATATTTATTTTTCAGATTTAATCTGTCTATTCTTGAATAACAAAAGAAGCTACTTAAAATCAACAGATATAGATCTTATAAATATTACCTTTTTAATTATTTTGATTGATTAGAGTAAAAATGCATTTCAGTTATGATATATCGAATTAAAACCATTAAATACTTATATACAATTGAGTATTTTTCACTTTTCAAATATATAGAAGATAAATAACTTTCCTATGTTGTTCTAAACGTATATTCGTTTGGTTTGGTTTAGTTTATTATGGCAAAGCACACTAGGGCCTAAGGAAAGGGGTGCCTTCCTGGAGGACGTTCTAAGGGGAACTGGCTCGTACACAGCTACGAAAACACACATGCGGCCAGCTAGTTCGCCTGGATTCGAAACCAAGTCAGTACTACCAGCGGTCATGTATTTTACCGCTCGGCCGCTAGTGGGCCTAAATGTGTTGCTTTCCCACCTGGGCTATCTCTACTGGTAACTGTATATTATACTTTAAAAGAGATCTTGTGGGTGACCATTAAAATCTGAACACTTTCACATTATTATTTTCCACTTTTCTTATACAAAGTTAGCCTACATAGCTTAAAGTAGGAACCGTAGATATCTCAGACTAAAAATTAAGATGTGTATTTAAATCTTAATCTTTACAAAAGAAATTAAATGTTGAAACAAAATGAAGGAAAAACTAATCAGCTATTAATTGCA